AGGGTGGGTGCATGTATGTGGAGGGCCACATGTATATATTTTCCATAACCCCACCTACACGTTTACTTCGTGATGCATGTAAGCGCCAAAGGCAGGGACGATCAACATTATCATGTTGGGCACAAATGATACTCAATCGACTTTTGTTCGATGTTGAATTTAAAAATTGAACATTATGAAGAATGGACCAACCATTAATTACTCCTTACAAATCTACCTTTGTATGAAATATCTGACCTTCATATAACTCTATTGGAGTAGTTGCTTCTGTCGGGCTAACAATGTTTACACAGAGAGCATCAAAATTTTCATCATCATCTCACTGTTGAGTTGTCCTAACAGTTTCGATAAAATCATTATTGATGTTCATCCCATCTAACCCATCACAATTTTGTGTTGTGTGATCTTCAATGAACCCTTGGCTATTACATTCTATGTTGTTAAATTCTTCCATAGGACACTAGGAGTACAATCTTGGGCTACCATCATGCGATGAATTATTACTATTGCTATTCATCGTTTCATACCCTTCAACATCATCTCTATCACCATCAGCATTTTCCTCCGTGTATAGCTCGTGTTGTGAATTACGGGGCATTGAAGCCACTGAGGGACGGATGTTTTGTGATTGTTCGTAGTTAGTTGTCTCCCAAGAGGGAAGTTCACCGACACTACGTCTAGGTTCATCTCTTAGAAGCTGTTGCGTTGACTGAATAGGTCGCTCCCATAACATATTACGCCCACGTAAATGATCTTCAACATTACCCAAAATATCTCTAACAATAGGCATAAAGGCTTCAGAAGTGGGAGTGGCCCTAATACATAAAAGTTAAATGAGGATAATGGAGAAGTTTGTTCATATAATTATGAAAACCAATAGTTGAAACTCACATGTAAGCTTGAGCTGATGGGGCATCAGCTTCGGTGTCACTCATTTGCTCAACATCCACATATACAACGACAGTATTTGTTCTAGCCTCCATCAACATGTACTTACAGACCTCATCATCGGAGATATTGGTCGCACAAAATCCACCATTATCTCGAAGACGACATGTGAGGGTAATAGTATTTGTTGTTGAATTTATTCTTAGTGCACGCATAATTCTTAATTTTAACATTTCAAGAGAAATATTACCATCTAAAAGGAGCGGTCTATTTCTTCCACCAATATAAGCTGGTGTGAACTCGCCCGAAATACGTAACTCTCCATCGAAATATAGCATCAACCGAGACATACTAAGAAGATAAGAGAAACTTATGTAAATACTTTGCTTATGTTATAAAGTTCAAATTCACTAAAATGTTGCTCTAATTATATGTCAATAAATTTTCAAGGTCCTTGGACATATATAAAACTAATTATGTACATAAGAAATCTATTTATTATATCTCTTTAATTAGTAAAAGTCAACTACGGTATATATGATTTTATCTAGCCCTTCATTATAATACTTCATCCGTGGAATGTCTTAAACATTTCATTATCCTTGTGATGTCCTCCATAATTAACAAAATCGTAACCTCTAAATGCTTAAAATTCTACTACGAATATTGTGTAGAAGGTAGTTATGTTAGCCTTAAAAATTAAGACTATTTAAATTTATTTATGTTAATTATATCAAAAAAAATTTAAATATATTTTAAGATAATTATAACATAAAATAATTATATTTTAATTTCATCTTCAATTTTGTTATGATTTGATTACAATACCAAATGATGTTTCAAAAAATATTAATGTTCAACACTAATTACATCATTCCATTTTAATTATAAGTAGTGGATTACAAATTTATATTTTCTGTTAATCTATTATGTCATAAAAATAAAAATAAAAAATTATGAGAACTTTTAATTGCTTTTATATTCAAAAACAAACAAACAAACTTTTTGCATCTTAATTTTAATTTTATTCCCAAAAAATAATTAATTTTAATTATTTATAGGTTCGTAACAACTTTTAATTGCTTTTATATTAAAAAATTTCTAAAGTATAAATTTAAACGCTAACGATTTTCTTGACAAAGTAATACGAAAATAGTCTCAAATTAAGACTAATCTAAATGTCCTCCCAAACGACCCATATAAGTCATGCCTACTTATAATATAATTAAAAAAAAAACTTGTTCATCATCATTAAGTGCTTTTTTTAAAATTTATTATACCTTAAAGATATAAAATTTTTGTTCACCAAATTCCTAAAAAATTGTCTTTTTCCTTAATGGAAATTTTTCAGGGGTATCCCTTAAATTGAGCACATTCTTTTTACAAATAATTTTTTCTTAACGAAAAATTCTTTCCACGTTATTTAATATATTAAAATCAAATGTCAAAAATTACTCTATAATAAAATTTATTTTCTAACTATTCGTAAAAACCAATTTTAATGTGTATTAAATTTTTTTTTTTTTTATGAACAAAAAATACAAAGATTAATGTTATTACAAACTAAGTTAATTTTCAGAAAAATATATCTTACTATCTTAATAATTTAATTAAACTTACAACTAACGGATAACCAGCACTTACATAATCTAACATTTATTAAATTAACTTATAAGATAAACTACGGGTGCTTTGCAAAAAATAAGATTGCATTCATATAATGATATTACTAAATTTGACAATCTTATTTTTAATTGCATAAGATATTTACTGATAAAAATTTATCTAAAAGAAATATAGTTGTAATATACTAACATTTATTAAGTTAAATATACAATTTTTTGTAAGAGTTATCTAAAATAAGAGTTTTTCAGTACAAAGCAAAATAATCTAAATCAATACTCTTTCTTAACACTAACATTTATTTTAAAAATAATATACAATTTTCTAATACTACACACTTTTAAAGGCTTTTACAACAAGTGGAAATCAAATATTTCAGTGTTTGTTTTTTAACCATTGTCCACCATCTTAATTTTTCTTTTCTTCTTAAATTTTATAAAACAGTCGGTCAAGGGAGAGACAAGGCTCTGCAATTTCTAATATAAGCTCTCCGATCTAACAGATCCAATCAAACCATGATGAAAAAATAGAAATGTTGTTCCCAAAATAAGGTCTCCGGTCATACATTACCAACTTCAAATAATAAACAAAATAATAAACTAAGCAAATGGAAGTTCTTCAATGAACATACAAAAAGGCCCACAAAATTATTCAACAACAAAAAATAATTAACATACTATAAATAAATTTTTTTTTTTCTGTCAAAACACATGAAAATCATATAAACTATAAACTCTACAAATTATTAAGAAAAAAATATTAATATACAAAAACTAAATAACTAACCTTTTCTTTCTCTCTTGAGATTAACTGAATTGCTGATGCAGTGCCTTCTCCCCAGCACACCCCGGCTTTTATAGCCATTTCTGCTTATCTCCCCAACCCCCTCAATCAATCCACCGCACTGAATGCCACCAAACAAACCATCAACCACCACACCGCACTGAATGCGCGGAAATTGCGGATCTGGTCGGGGAAACGACAGGTGCCAGAGGTGAAACCATGGAATGCGCCACCTTTATACGCACATTCTTCAAATTACGCCATCTGTCTTAAGAATGCGCTTAACGATTACGCGCATTCTTTAATGTGCTTTTCATTACGGCGTATTCTTTTAATACGCCAACTTTTATGGCGTAATTGCTGCTTTTTAAATTATTACGGGATTATGCTTCTTCTCCTAATAACAGCATCAACCGTGCTTCTTCCGAAAATTTGGCATATCTCTTTTTGGTGATTAATACGAGAGTTCTGCCCACAATTTCTCGAAAAAAATATTTAATTTTTTAAGCCTTAAAATTCTCACATGCAATCTAGCAAACACTTTGTCATTACCTATAGACATCATGAGCTCTCCTACTAGCTACGAGCTCATCATTGTCATCATCAATACCACGTGACAAATATTTCCTGAGCACACAACTCTCCTTGGCCTATTGGTTGAGAGCTTAGGCTTCCAATTAAGATGTCCAAGGTTCGAGTCTTTGTGTATGCGTTGTGTGTGTGAGTTTGCCTTAAATGGCCTAAATGTCCCCAAAAAAAAATATTTCATGAGCCCACTCAATTAAAAAAAAAACACAATATATAAGAAACTTATAATATAATATTCAAAATTTTAATTAATAATTATAAAAATTATTTCTTACTTTCTTATATTAAATTATTATTTTTATTTTTCTTATAATTTTTCATTCTTTTCATCATTTTATTATAATAATCATTTAAATCATAATTATTTTCTCTTTCAAAATAAATGACCTAACTCATAAACCAATTTGAAGTCATAAAATAACACAAACTCAAACTCATTTAACCAATCAAGCTCAAGCTTACGTTAGAAGTGACTCAAACTCAGCTCAACTCGTTTACATCATTAGTCACATATATAACTTTCTATCTTCACATAAGATCTTAGTCCTAATCATGTTCAAACTTATTAACTAGTGGATGAAAAGTTTATGACATACAAGCACAGATACATGCATGAACTTGGAATGATTTGTCTCGCTTATAATTATACGTTGATAAATTAGATTAACATAATGTTAAATCCTATTTATGAAGATGTTGGATATAAGATTAGGCATAAAAAAATAAAAAATCCACATGCCTGATTACCCAAGTAGAGGTCTGTACTGTTATGAAGACAGACTTCCCGGTAAGATGCACCTTTACCACAATCTGTTATTTGTGATGCTTTGATTCATTAGAACTGTATTAGAAGCAGATGGTATGGTTCATAAACTTTTTAGGTTGGATAAATGAGACTATTGCAGAATTACTACCAGCATAGGCTTATGTTTAGTATATTACAGATATCGGACATAGCTTACTGTCCAGAGGAGAATCAGGTGTAGTTACGTCGTCCACTATTGAGCTCAGTACCGAGCGGCAGTACTAAGTAGGGGGTGACGTAGCATATTTTCATTTGGCTCTGAACGGCGTTCGGTGTCCGCACATTATAATTCCCCATTTTGAATAGGATAACATGTCATCAACATGCAAAATTTAGTCTATTATCTCTTTGCTTATAGCAGCCGTAGGAAATAAGAAAAAACAGAGCTACAATCAGCAACTGCAATAAATCCAAACATTTCAATCCGATAATAAATTTTGATTCAGATTTGACTCAATTCAGACAACTTAAACTTCAACAAAATTTAAGTGTATGGTGCTACAAAATATTAAGATAAAGCTTATGTTAAATGGTAGAAATATGAAGGGTGGTCAGAAAGACTTACTGAGCTCCTCCCTGGATTTTGGCTTCACCTATCCCGTTTGCGCAGCCCCATGCGAGATTTTGAATACCTAAATACAGTTTAGTTATAAACACAATCGTATCCACAAGGCTAAAGGCTCTATTGAAATTTAAAAGTTTTTATGGCTGATAAGAAGGATACTCTATGCGCAGGCGCTCCCCAAAAGATGAGAATAAAGAGCTTCCCTGCAGGCTGTTGAGGGCTTCAGTTGAGCAAGCAATGTCCTGCATTTACAAGATTATATATCAAATGAGAGGAATATAAGCATATATTTAAATATTAATTAAGTTCAATGTATTCTTAATAATGAAAGAACTATGTCGTCTTTTTTATCCAGTATGTTGAACAAATGGGTGTTAAAAAGCAGATTTAGGCTTCGTTTTGGACAACTTTCGTACTGTTTTCTAAAACGATTTTCTAGTATAAATTTTTTAATTCAAGAAATTTTTGTTCTAAAAAGTTGTTTTAGAAATCAATCAAAAAGCTGTCCCAAACAAAGCCTTAATCATTGATGATATGTATCCTCGAGTATGATAAAAGTCGTCTTGTGAAGTTACAAATTCAATCAGCAAAAAGTTTCCACTACAAATTAAAAGGAACTAGAGCAAAATATTCAACCATATCCAGAAAGGTATTCTATCTGGGGCTTAGTCAGCTATATAAATTGTCGGTACGGTCGGAAATCTAAGAATTACGGGCAAAAAGAACCCGTGTTGCCTAGGTTGGAGCTAATATCAATATACCATCATTGGAATACCAAAAAGAACTGCTAAGAGGGCTTAACATCAACATCCAGATTTTCCCAAAGCAAGAAACCCCAGCCTCATTGCCAATTTTTTTTAAGATCATGAGCATTTTTCCAAGTAGGCTTGCAAGTATTCCAAATACAAAGTCAGAGATAGTCGGGATGCCTAAACCATCATAATTCAATGGCTTGCAAGTATTAATTCATGAAACCAAGGATAATTTCTTGGCATTAATGTTTCTATGGTATAAAAAACTAGAAGAAATTTTGTTGAGATACTTGATGCAGGTTTTGGGTATGACACTAAAATTCAATATGATAAACCTAAGAAATTGAAGTATTCCTGCAAAAGAAAGAGCCCCAGCTCTCCAACCACAAGCAACAAAGAGGCCTTCTTCATCAATGGCTGCAAATCAGAAAGTAAGACCCTTCTAGGAGCTATGAGAATTCCTAGGTAGGTAAGAATCGAGGTGTCATTGGAGAGGTTCAGAATGTCACATAGCAGGTATTGATTGAGAGTGTTTTTGGAAAATATAATGGAGCTCTTGGAGGAGTTAATGGTAAAGCCAAATGAACATTTAAAAAGATGGAGCATTTCTCTAAGAAAGATAATTTTGTTATGATCATCCAACCTGAAGACTAGTAGATCGTCTCATCGTCTGCATAAAATAAAGGGAGACTTATTTAAGCCCCATGTTGATACCAAAGAACCCTCTATCCTGGAGGTACATCTTTCAAAAACATTAGAGGTACCATCCACAAAAATACAAAAAAAAAGGTAAGGGGATAACGAACATCCCTATCTCAAGCTAGGCGATAATGAGAAAAAAGCCTTCAAGAAACCCATTTATGCCCAATGATGTCCCAAGTGGAGGTGTAGAAGGCAAAAGTAACACCATCAAACCCAGGGGTAAAATTCTGCTCAAAAGAGAAGACCACCTTTTTAATTTTAGTTTTAAAAATAGAGGCAATAAGAGATATAAGGTACTTTATCACCGAAAGGAGGTAGAAGGGCATTAGTTGTGCGCCTTGTGGCCATTGGATTGTTTAAAAGAAATTTGAAATAAGAAAGGAACATTGACAAGTAGTGAGCTCTTTCAGAAAAGTATGATTTCTCCTCCCTTTGATCTTCCAATCAAGAAAAATTAACTCATCTTCTCCATTTTTCAGCCCTTTGATTTTCGGCCTCTAAATAATCCAATCAACCCAGGAATAGTAGGAAGAAGTGAGTGCCACATCCACCTGTTTGGCCTGAATAATAAAATCAGCATTCATTGGATCACTAAGAAGATTGTAATAAGAAGCATGCCTGTTTTCTAAATCTTTTGTTCTGGGATGTCATTTCCTACTTACTGTAGTGTACTTTAGAAATTTGTGCTTGTGAAGAAAGGAGCTCTTATAAGATCACTGTTGGAGAAGCAAAAGAGGATACTAGAAATGACATCCCAGAACTCAGGAAGCCTACACCAATAATTTTAAGAAGTAACCCATGTTTGGAACCGTTGGTTAAAGTTGGATTGAGGACATCTGGGACTTTCAACATTATAGTAAGAAGTAGGAAAGCAATTCAGCCATATCTCATTTACTAAAACTATGTCCAAATTGATGAGGATAGGAGCTTCACTTATATTGTTAAACCATGAGAATTTCAGCCCAACAAAGCAATATCCATCAACGAGATGTCAAAAATCAGAATATTAAAAACCTAGAACTTACTATTTGGAATCGGATTGCCACCCACTTTTTCTTTGTGATGTCTGCAATAGTTTAAATCCCCTAAAACAGCCAAAGGATAATTGAATTGGGAAGAAGAACACCCAATCCTTCTATGAGATTCTCAAAGATGAGTTTTCTCAGAATGAGAATTAGAGGCATATAATAAAAGAAAGGGCTTCAAGATCCCATAAGTAACTATGTCATGGATGACCTGATATCCAACCAAACAAGCCTTGAAATTCAGAACATACGCATTCCACTTGATCCAGATTCTCTCAGACTGAAAGCAACTAAAGTTATAGCAAAAGCCTTCTTTAGTAAAAAGTTTGCGAGAATTAAGAAACCACAACTCCGTCATAAGGTGACCGCTAATTGAGATTGAAGGATTGGATGAGTTTCTTGCAATTAGAACCCAATCCAAACTATAGAAGCCTCTAATGTTCTACGAGACTAAATTTGGGAAATTCATTCAGATATGACAGATTGATTGGCCATTTTCTTGGCCTTAGGGTGGTTTGAAGGCTCTAAGGAGGATTTGGGAGGGACATTATGTTTATTAACAGATGATTAAGGATCATTGTTTGACAGCAGGGAGTGTTCCTTTTCAAATAAAAAAATAGAGAAGCCATTATTATGTAAAACATCAGCATCCAATCGTGCAAAGATAGAGTTTTTGTGTTCGGTTGAATTGGTTTCATTTGTAGGGTTGTTAAGATTACGAATGAGTCCTAGCTCATTGGAGCTATTTTTAATGGCTAGTTTCTTTTGGATATGCGGGAGATTGTCAGTCATTGAGGAAAGAGGATTCAAATTTATGATTTTGGGTTAAGGATGTGTTGATGTTGCTTGACGGGTTTGAGTGGACAGAGTTTATGTTTGGGAGGGAGTCTAAGTTGAGGTTTCCTGCTCTTGCTTCTACCTCGCAGAAATTGGCAGGGACCTCAGCTGGGTTTGTAAGGCAATGATTTTGCAGGTGAATGAGAGATCCACAACCACCAAAAGGGAAAGGATTTCAATCATATTGCACGCATAAAGTCAGTGGTTTCCTAGTTATGGAAATCTTTATCTCATGAGCAAGGATGGAGTTTTATCCACCTAAACACAGACCCAAGCAAACATCAAGCTAGTTTTATCAGCTATTATAGAAGCTACGGCCAAGGGTTATCAATGGAACTTGCTATTTTTGAAAGAGGCGTTGAGAACCTAAATAGAAAAAATCTTCATTTAATGAGATCATGAAAAGATTACCTATAACTTTGCTATTTTTTTAACATCTATGAGAAGGGCTTCATAGTAAGAGTATTTACTGATGGAGCTAGGATCAAGTTCCAACGGGCTCTAACCACTTTGATTTCCTACAAAAACCTCCCAGCCCTCATCGTCTACAGCACCTGTATCCACCACTTCACTTGCAACTCTATGGCATCACAAATTCGGGCATCCTAATGCAGCTACATTACATGTTTTAGCAAAAACAAAACATCTCTATTATGTAATCCCTCCAAATAGACTAATACATAACTCTTGCAATTTATCAAAAGAGTCATCATTTGTCTTTTTCTTTTTCTACTTCTAGAAGTAAAACCTCACTTGATATTATCCATTCCGCTGTACGTAGTTCATCACTACTTTTGTCAAAGCAATATTATAAGTATTGTCTTTAGTTTGTTGAAAATTTTTCTCATTCCTCTGCAATTTTCCAATGAATCTTAAATCACAAACATTACTATGTTTCAATTCAAAATTTATGTTGCAAAAAATTTTAACCATCATATTAAAATCCTGAAAATGAATTATGGTGGTGAATATTGCAGCACAAACTTTCAAAATCTTCTCAACCAATTTGTTATATTGCTTCAACATTTGTGTTAATACACTATCAAACAAAATAGTATTGCGGAGATAAAACATCATCGCATTATTGAGATTATTTGTACCTTTATGATTAATGCAAATATTCCTCAATTTCCCTAGGAGGATGTTCTACCAACTGCAGTATATCTAATTAATCATCTTCCTTCTCCTGTAATCATTAATTGCTCACTATATCAACTACTATATAATAAAAATTTTCATATTCTCATTTTTAAATTAATGGTAGTTTGTGTTATCCATGGTTCCAACTGTATCCGCCCGCAAAAACTCATCCAAATCTGAGTCCTGTGTATTTCTTGGTTATGCCACTGCCTCATAAGCCACATGCTTTAATCCAATGACTCAAAGAACCTATATTTCAAGACACGTAATTTTTTATGAAAATATTTTTCATATCAACAATTCATTTGATCTCCCAACCTGTCCTCGGCGCCTGAAACAGTATCAGCTCTCACCTTAGTCCCAACATCTCACAAATCAACCTTAGCATCACCCCAAATTTCCTCTATCTGTGAACAAAATACCTGCACTTCTTCCCTTTGTGTCTGCCACTCCATCCAACAATCACTACAGTCCTACTAACACTATCTCAAATCATCCTATCTCTTCTCCAACTATTTCAATGTTGCCAGATTCTACACACTCCTCTTACAATTGTCCTATCAGCCACAAACATTTTCCATTCATTAGAAGCAAACTAATCTTAAGCCCAAAAAAAAAAAAAAAAATTCAAACTTGGTCATTCCTCTAACACTACTGATGGTCTAACTTGTTATTATATTACTGTCAAGAGTTTGCATTGACAAAAAGTCATGCCTAAAGAGTTTCAAGCTCTTCAATAGTAGGGAACCTAGATCTTAGTTCATCACCTACATAAACATATTAGTTAGTAAATGGATCTATAAAACAAAATCTAATTCAGATGGCACTCTTGCTCACTATAAATCTCACCTTCTAGCATAATGTTACAATCAAGAATAAGACATTAATTACACTGACACCTTCAAACATGTTGCTAAATTTCCAACCATTCGTAATTTTCTAGCAGTGGCTCTTCATCAACATAGGCAAGTTTCTCAACTAAATGTATCAAACACTTTTTCGCACAGCACTCTCAAGGACCAAGTCTTATATGAAGCACTGTGAGGCTTCATTAACCCTAACTACTCAAAGCATGTTTGTCTACTGAAGAAGGTTATACGCAGGCTACCTCAAGTTTAGTATCAAAAACATAAATAACTTACCTAGCACAAGGTTTAGTTAAGTATCATATAACCCCTTGAGGTTTGGAAAAATATCAAATACCTACCTCATGTTAATTTTTCCATCTATTAACTGTTACAACAAGGGTACTTTTCTGATTAATTTAGAAAAAAGAAACGATCACTAAACCTAAACTACATGCATAATACAGGATTTAAATTTTAAACTAATAAATTTAGCATTTAGATAATTCAAATCTATTAATGAATAAAATTTTAAAATAAGTATTTACTATTTAACTGTTTCATACTTTATTAAAAAAATAAATATACTTAAAAATTCAATCATATCTAGAAAAAAAAATATAACTTGATAACAACAAAATTAAAATTAATTAAATTAATTGAAAATATATAATTAATATTAATTGATTTATTAATAGAGTTATTATTGGTACAAATCTTAAGCTTATAATTTAGAAATAAATCTAAAATTTTCAAAATATATAATCCATAATTATTTATGAAAAAAATTAATATATAAATATTGACTTGAATTATTTTCTTCATTTCCGAAAAAAAAAATTCAAACACATTAATGAATGAAATTGTAAACCATCAATGTCAAAAGTTCAAACAATTCTTTATCTAAACAACCTTAAGAAGAGTCCCCGCTAGTTTGTGTATAATTTAGGTTAAGAGTTTTATGTCGAAGTTAATGAAAAAATTACATAATGGATGGAAACATTAACCTAAGAAGGTAATTAAAATTCTGTCAAATCTTTTACAGGCCATATAATATTAACTTAAACCTAGGGGAGAAAAATGATAATCACCCACAATTAACATCAATATCTTAATCAGCTCAGTTAATCATTGAATCACCGATTAAAATCAAACTAAACAGAGTTAATCCACCAAAACACTAATTAAACAATTTAGTCCAATTAATTCCCGATTCATCTAGTAATTCACCGATCCTCAACTAAAGCCAAGGTGTTCCCAAACTATCCCCTACTTAAGCATAATAATGCCAAATTAGAACAAATTAAATTATAATCATTAATAAATTATTTATTACATTAGCTAATGTCCATTAATAAAAACGTGCTTAATTAGCTATAATTAAAATAATTAATCTAATTATTTCATTTGTTAATTAATCTACCATCCTTAAACATCTGAGATTAATCACTACAACAAATAAATCTCTTGATTTGTAATTAACTAAAGCTAACAATGATTGCTTAATTAATCCATCTTATCATTCGTTAATTCATGCTTAATTATATAAATATATTAATTATTCTTTAGTGCTTAATAATGAACCCTTCTGATTAATTAACCATGCAACTATTGCTTAATTAATTCATGCAACTTTTGTTTAGTTAGTGCTTAAAAGCCATGTGATATGTCAATCTTTCATTTGTGCTTAACTAATAGATATATTCATTCTTGATTTCATCAGGCTTCAATTAAAACTTTATATGGAGCTGAATCAGCCACTAGCTTAATTAAACTGCTAATTAATATTTACTAATCCACGCAGAAAATTAATCCTTTATATAGTTCTTAATAAAGTCCTTATCTTATATATGATTGATCCAAACGTCACAACAAGATGATCTTCAGGATTAAAACAATGCAGATAACTCGATTTCAGTGTAAGTACGTTTACGTCCATGGAATACATGTATATGGATTTATTTATAGGGAAAACGACTGGCTTTATGGTGTAAAAACTAGGATTGCTCAGAATGAAATTAATTTCATAAAGCTAAATGCAGAATGCTCAATTATGTAGCAAAACGGGTTCTACTGACAACTACCGAACTGGGTTAGATGTCATCTGTATTTGCGATTCAAAAAGGAAATTCATCAATTTAAAGGCACTGGGAACACATATATACTCATAAGACCAAAGTAAGATCAAAATGTTAGCCTTTATGAAATCGTCCTTGAGCAAAATAAGAAGGATAACATCAACGAAGTGAGCGTTTACATGCTGATCACATATGAAGGACAGCCAAAAGGGCATATTAGCGTTAACATATTTATTCAGATTATAAACCCTAAAACAACTTTTCCGGTGAAGACAGTTTCAACTTTCAAGTAATTGCAAGTGGTAAATTACCTGAAAGTCGACAAATGCAACAGAAACCCCTTTCTTGTGTTGCAACATCAACTTTAAAAATCCTGGGTATCTAACACGACAGAAGCAAAGATTATCAGAACTCCCAGAATTGAAATTAGATCAAAAACATTTGCACAAAACATAAAATGATGAATATTAAGTTTCTCTGACTTGGAAAACATTCGAGTCAGCTCTTTTTCAGAACAAGCTGGACCAAGATTAGCCACAAAAAGTGTTGGGCAAGGAGGATTGTTTTGAGGAGGAGGATTTCTTAATGCAGTCTGCAACAGCAAAAGGCATAATTAAAGCATTAACAGTGGAAACATGGGCTAGCATGACACAGCGGAATAAAAACTTACAGAACCTTCATGAAAGCTGAATTTGAAACAAGAAAAAGTTACGCATTTGGGAAAGCAAGTTTCTAGGGCAAAAGTGTGGGTGCCGTGCTATAACATATAATCAGCAAGAAGTATCATTCATTCATCAAAGAGGAAAGCACGTAGAAATCAGCAAGAAGTATATTCTTGAACTGAATAATGGGAAACCAAAGAAGAAATAGTATGAAATCATGAATCATAACAGTAGACAGAAACATCTTGATGTAGGCAAAGGGAGGTCAAAATATTTTGGGTTTTAATTTTGGTGAGTTAGTTTCTTCTACTTAAAATCATC